TGGAGTTTTTTCATTAAGTCGCTTCTCTTTTGCACTGAATTTAATCCCCCCAATTTACTTATATTTCGCTTCCTTCGGCTCCAGCGTACACAATTGCTCATAGCAAGTTGCAGCCTCCTCGTATTTCTGCGCGTGATAGTAGCAGTAGCCCAATGTGGAAAGACCAGCTCTGGTGTTGGCTGCTTCGCCAAAATTGACCATGCACTCGATTACATCATCGTAACGCTTGTCCTTTATCTAAAGGACATAAATATCACAAAACCTGACTGAAACCTGTATGAAAAGAATTCTCACCAAATTATAAATGGTACGCGTAACATGTCCTTCTCGTAGTATTATTCCTTGATGTAACATTTTGAATAACTGTAAATAGTCTGCTTAATCGAAAATCTGATTTGTTTCTTGGTTGGAAGTAAATACACTCTCTGGCATAATCCTGTAACTATGTAATTCATATACTTACAAATACGAAATGCAGCCGGTGTTATTGTTACTACAAATTTGTTGCCATTAGCAACTGACTTAAATGCGGCGGTGAATATCCCAAACAAAAGCACCAACACAAAAATAAGCGGATTGCATTAATTACGCCACACAGTGCACCGACTCCATATAAAATAATGGCAAAAATAGAAGGAGTGGTCAGAATTAGTTGAATCTTTACTCCTCAAAGGATTACATTCCCGTTATTTAAAAAACGAAATCGTTTCTTTGAATTTCGAAAAGAAAAAACTCTTTTACTTTTAAGTACTACTATGGATTTCATCTAAATTTGTCCAGCCGTTTCTGAGGGAAGAAAGGTCTCGCATGGTGCCGGTTTTTCACTTCATTAAATTTCAAGTCCCCCTGTGCCAGTAAAAAAAAGTCCTTACTTCAAAAAATAAAACTTTATTGCATACCCAACAAGCAAAATAAACTTAAAGAAAGTTTTTTTTAAGTTTTCAATTATAAACATTAAGCTTACAAAACGTTGATTTTTTGTTTATAAAACGCTTGAAAGTAAGCGTAATATAATCGAAAAGGAACATTGGTTATAAGCGTAGAAATATAAACTTGTAATAAATGTTCAAAAGAAAGCTTTTTATAAGCGTAAAAGTGTAAACTTATAATAAAGGTTCAAAAAAAGTTTTATATAAGCGTATCAATATAAACTTACTAAAAATTTTCAAAAGAAAGCTTTTTATAAACATTTTTATAACCCTTTATTTAAAGATATTTCATTAAAACCTCATACATAGATTGCTTAACATCTAGAAACTAAACGAAATGCGAATTTTCCGCGGACTCATCTACAGTCGCGAAAATATAAATAGGGAATAGACATTTTAGCATACAAATTCACAATAACACATACAAATTAAGCATAAAAAAGTTAATTATTACATCTTGTTGCGTGCTTTCAATTACTTGCGGTTATTGGCAAATTGGAAAAGGGACATCGATGCAGCTATATATTGCGCTTTATCGCCGCCATTCTCATTGATGAACTTTTCTGAAAAAAATTTAATACGTTTTTAATTGAATGTTAAACTAAGAAAGGATAAGGGGAACTCATCATTTGAAGACTCGAATGCTCCACCGATTAGCGCAGCGGGTCCTGGATTGGATTTTCTTGTTTTACCGCATTGGTTTTATTTAATTTTTTCTTTTAATAATATATTTTAAAAAACGTAAACACGTCACTTACGATTGAAAAAATTTTATATTTACTAGTTCATGTCGTTGGCATTTACATTTCATTTATAAGTTTAAGTTATTTATAAACATTCGCTCTCAAAACTTATTAAAGGTTTGTTTGAAAAAACTTTTAATAAGCTTAATATTAAAAATGCTTATTTAACGCTTATTATAGCAAACTTAATTTAAGTTATTTTTAAAAACGTTTACTGAAATGCTTGTTGGGTATTGTACATGAAAATTGCGTTTTGAGGAATTTAATAACCAATACCAATATAGAATATTATTAACTAGTAGCAGCAGTGGAGAAGCAGACACACACTAGCCATCAGCTAATAAATATTTTGCATGACCAGTATCTTCTGTGAGTTAATATTTGAACTGCGTTCAAGGAGTTCGCCTGGGCCACACTACTTCGTTTCATTTATAGATAGTTTCGTACTGCATAACTTCGTGTTGCTCCTAACCCTTTCTTTGGAATTGTCCATTATATGGGACACGCCAAAAGACAATTTTTACGTTCGTTTTGCAGCGTATTTTTTTTTTTTGTTTTTTTTTTTAAAAAACTTGCTCCCATGAAAAAGTAAAATACAACTGATTTTAATCTCCTTTTAATGTTAAACGACGATTAAATGCCAATTAGAAGCAAGGAACAACATTTTATTTTGGCTATTTATTAATCTTTTTAGGGCCTAAATGAAAATAATATAACATCAAAAAATTATTTCATGTTTATTCTAGCCTAGCCATTAGTATTCCTTTTTGTGTTTGTCATTGTACGTAATAATAATGGTAATGGCAATGAATAGTGGTAATGGAACCTCCGAAATAAATTTTACAACAAATTCAAGTCAACCAATGGCCAAAGTCTCTACCAAATGAATAAGCGTTTTTTAAGAGAGTTCAATTGCCTGAACAAATTACAACAAAAAAATTATTGCCTTATTTTCGACCTTAATATTAAATTTTGTAAAATGAAAAAAAAAAATCCTCCATAATTGCCTCTCCAGTTGTCACGAAAGATAAATAAGAATCCAAAATTTTGTACGCCCAAGTATGATAGACATTTTATTTTATTATATCATATATTGTTTATAAATGAATTATATTTTTTTATATATCATATGTTTTGAGGCATATGTTTTTGAGAAAAATACACCATAGTAAATTTTAAATTTCAAAATTACATTTCTCGACTGAAAAATAAGATATTCGAGCTAACTTGACGGGACAGTGTGATTTAAAAAAAATGCATGCCAATTAATCGTAGCGGTTGCGACAGAAACAATATTTTGATATGAAACAAAATGGCTTTGAAAGCTGAAATGTAATTGCCTTTCACGGAAAAATATTGCCATTGAGCCACAATC